GAGAGAGAGAGAGAGAGAGAGGGGGTCGGAAGAGAGAGAGAGGAGGAAGGAGGGAGGGGAGGGAGGAGAGAGGGATTGAAGAAGAGAGAGAAGAGGGAGAGAGAGAGAGAAGAGGAAAGAGGGGAGGAGAGAGGGATCGTAAAAGAGAGAGAGAGAGAGAGAGAGAGAGAGAGAGAGAGAGAGAGAGAGAGAGAGAGAGAGAGAGAGAGAGAGAGAGAGAGAGAGAGAGAGGGGAAAGAGAGGGAGGGAGAAGGAGAAGAGGAGAGAGGGATCATAAGAAAGAGAGAGAGAGAGAGAGGAAAAGAGGAGAGAGGGGTCGTAAGAGAGACAGAGGAAGGAGAGAGGAGAGGGGGATCGTAAGAGAGAGAGACAGAAACAGAGAGAGAGAGGAGAGAGAGAGAGAGAGAGAGAGAGAAGAGAGAGGAGAGAGAGAGAGAGAGAGTAAGAGAGAGAGAGAGAGAGAAGAGAGGAGAGGAGAGAGGGTCGTAAGAGAGAAAGAGAGAGAGATGGAGAAGAGATATGAAGGGAGAGAGAGAGAGAGAGAGAGAGAGAAGAGAGAGAGAGAGGAAAGAGGGGGTGAGGTGAGAGAGAGAGAGGGGAAGGAGGAGAGACGAAAGGGGGGTCAGTGAAGTGAGAAAAGGAGAGTAGAAGGAGTCAAGGGAGAGAAAGAGAGAGCGAGAGAGGAAGGAGGGAGAGGAAGAGACGAGAAGAGAGAGAGGAGAGAAGAGGAGAGGAGAGGGGATCACGAGAGGAGAGAGAGAGAGAGAGCAAGGGGGAGAGGAGAGAGAGGGTCGGTGAAGTAGGAGAAAGAGATTGAAAGGGGAAGGTGGGTCGTAAAAGAGAGAGAGAGAGAGAATTGGGAGTCGGATGGAGTGAGAAGAGAAGGAGAGAGGAAGAAAGGGGAGCGTTTGAGGGAGAGTTGAGGTAACCGTTCATTATAACCATTATCATTATTATTATTAGGAAGAGAGAGTTCCTCGGATTTTTGGTGGATGGAAGTGGAAGAGAAAAGTAGAGAAAGGGAGGTGGAAAAGGAGGCTTCCACATGGCGTTTCGTGGACTGAGTGGATGGTTGTAGTGGTCTCTCCCCCCCCCTCCCCCTCCCGCCTCCCTCTCCCCTCCTCCACCCCCCTTCCCTGACTCTAAGTTGTGAGAGTTGTAGCAAAGTTTGTAGTTCGCACCTGTAGTAGTATTGCGGATAACTTTAAGGATTCTTTATCTATCTGTCTATCTATCCAATTTTCTTGTCTGTCTATATTTCCCCCGTCTCTTTGTCTGTCTTTCCGTTTCTCTATTTGTCTAAATTTGCCTCCATATATGTTTTTTTTGAGTGTTTGTTTGTCCGTCTCTCTTTGTTTGTCTGTATATCTTCGTCTTTGTCCTTGTGTCTGTCTCTGCACCTGTCTTCACTTCAGTCACCGCGTCTGTCTGTCTGTCTTTGTCTGTCTCTGTCTTTGTTTCTCTCCGATACCACCTCTTTCTCCACCTCTATCTCTCTTCCTTTGTCCGTCTTGCTTTCCCACTTCCTTCGAACTACAAACAGCATAAGTTTCTCTTGACCTCTATGACCTTCGCAAAGCTGTCTGTGTGACTGATTCACAACCCTTGACCAATGCGGCTTGGTGCTTGTGCTTTCCTTGGCCCTTTTTTATTCTTATTTTGCATTTCTAAACGAAGAAGAAGAAGATGATGATGATGATAATGACGAAGAAGAGAAGTAAGAGAAGAAAAGAAAGTAAGAGAAGGAGGGTGAGAAAATGAATAAAACGACGAAAGAAAAGAGAGGAAAAGATAGACCTTATTCATAAATGCTTATGCTTGTGATAGTGATATCATTATCATTATTATCATTTTCATGATTCATTATCGTTATTATTTTTATCATTATCATTATAATTATTGTTATTGTTATTACTATTATTTCATTATCATTATTGTTATTATCATTATTATTGTTATTATCATTATTATTATTATTATTATTATTATTATTATTATTATTATTATTATTATTATTATTATTATTATTATTATTATTATTATTATTATTATTATTATCATCATCATCATCATCATCATCATTACCATTATTAGCGTCATTATTACCATTATCATTTTTATTGTAATTATTATAATTATTATCGTTGCTAATATCATAACCGTTATCGTTATCATCATAATCATCATTATTATTATTATCATTATCATTATTATCAATATCATCATTATATCATATCATAATTATTTATATCATTATTATTATTGTTATTATCATTATTACTGTTATTATCATCATTATCAACACTAATTTTTATTCTCGTTATCATCATGTCACAGTTATTATTGTTATTATTGTTATCATTCTTACCTTTATAACCTTTTATCATGATAATTGTCATGATTACTATTATCATCATGACCATGTTATCATTACTATCCGTATTCATCTTATTGTTATAATTATTATTATGATAAGTTTCATTATTATGATAAGTTTCATTATTATTATTATTATTATTATCATTATTATTATTATTATTATTATTGTTATTATTATTATTATTATTATTATCATTATTATTATTATTATTATTATTATTATTATTATTATTATTATTATTATTATTATTATTATTATTATTATTATTATTATTATTATTATTATTATCATTATTATTATTATTATTATCATCATCATTATCATTATCCTCAATATCATTATCTTTATCATTATAATCATTATCATCATTATCATATTACTATTATCGTCATGATCATCATCATCATCATTATTATTATTATTATTATTATTATTATTGTTGGTGTTGTTGTTGTTGTTGTTGTTATCATTGTTAATATCATTATCATTATTATGATTTTGATTATCATTATTATCTTTATTATTACTACTGATATCATCATCATTATTGTTATTATCACTATTGAAATTATCGTCACTATTGCTTTTTATTTTTTCGTTGATTTTTATTATTATAATTATCATTATCATTATCATAATTGTTATCATACTCATTGGTATTATCATCAGCACAAATATTATAATCACCCTTAAAATTATTATTCTCTTAATGATGATGATAATATCAAAGATAATGATAATAATTATCATATCTGTCATGAGTATTGTTATCATGATCTTTATTGTTTTCATCATTATTATCATTATTATTATCATCTTTATTATCATTACTAGTTATAGTCTTTATCATCCCTAATTCTTATTAGCATTACTATTGTTATCATTAGTATTATCATCATCATTATTACTGATTATGATATCATTACTATAATCATTGTAATTATCCCCATTATTATTGATATTAATATTACCATTAATGATACTATTATCATTATCATTATTATTTTTATCACCTTGATTATCATTATCATTATCATTGTTATTTTTATTATTATCATTATTATTGTCATCAGTATTATTTTCATTATCATCATTATATTTTTGTTATCATTATAATTATTAGCATTATCATCATCATCATTATTATTGTTGTTGCTGCTAATATCATTACTATTATCGTTATTGTTATTATAATTGTTTGTTTATATTAGGCCTATTATCATTACTATCTGTATTATTGTTATCATTATTATTTATCATTATCATCATTAATTTCTTAATCATCATTGTTGTTTTTGCTTCGTCACTGATGTTTTCATTATTCTCATCATCATTATTATTACTATTACTACTTTTGTTTTTATCATTATCATGATTATCATTGTCTTCATAATCACTTCTAATGTTGTTATTTATTAACTATCATTATTGTTATTATGATTATCTTTATTATCTCTTATCTTACTATTTACGCTAGTGTGATTATATTACTATTATAATTATCATTACTTTGTTATAATTTTGTTATTATTTTTTGCCATATCTCTCATTATCATTATTATCCTAATCATTAATGTTATGATCATCCTTATTGCTATTATCATTATTTTATTATCACTATTATTATCATCATTATAATTCTTATCACTGTTATTATTACTGTTATTATTTTCATTATCATTAGTGTCATTATAGTTATCTTTTTTATTATTACTGTTACTGTTAGTAGTAGTAATAGTAGTAGTATACTTATTTTTATTGTTATCATCATTGCTGTTTTTATTATCATCATCTCAATTATTATTATTATTATTATTATCATCATTTTGTTATCATTATTATTTCGTGTTATCATTATCATTATCACTGGCATCATTATTACCATTATCATATTTACTATTACAATAATATTTCTGTTAATATCACAGATATTGTCATAATTATCATTATCATTATTCCAATTGTAATAATTATCATTATTTCATGATTGTTATTGCTGTTATTATGATTCCTACTTTATTTTCATTGTAGTTATTAGCAATCACTATTATTATTATCATTTCTATCATTATAATTACTTTGCGTACAAAAATAACACGTACTATTAATACTACTACTACTTCTACTACTACTTCTACTATTGCTATCATTATCTTTATCATTATCATCATCACGTATATTATTATCATCATTACTATCTACTACTACTATATTTATCCTTTTTTGTTGTTAGTATTACCATTATTGTCATCATCGATATTAATATTTATGGTATGATTACCGTTATTATTTTGTTATCATTAGCAATAGAGTTTGCCTTAGTTTAAGTACTGTTATTGTTATTTTTATCATTGTCTTTTGCATTATTGTTATCATGGTTTTTATCATTGTTATCATTATCAATATTATCATTATCCTTATTATCATCATCATTTACATTATCAACTATTAAGACAACATTACTACAATTATTAATAGTGTCAATATTACTACTACTATCGATAAAGTCCTCATTACTAATACTATTAACACTATCACCATTACCCTCATTACAGAAATCTCTATTCTTTTAATCACCCTTTTTCTCCCCCCACCCCTTCTCCCCCCCCCCCCCCTCCAG